TTATTTTTTTTTTTTTTTTTTTTTTTTTTAAACTGTAACGCATCTTTATTAAGTTATGTATGATAAATCAGAAACTAAAATAAATGATACTTAGAGCCGTCCGTGCAAACCATGAGACAACCCTATAACAGAGTTTAAACTATAACTAATAAAAACACATTACTAATAATAAAATAAATACTTATCCTTCCTGTTACCTACCCTATTTTATGAAACCTAACTAATACTACCTAAAATAAAAGAAAAATGGTCCTAATTTATACATATTTAGAGAATATCGGTTTGACTATTCCTACATTCTTTGAAGTAAATAGTAACTAAAAACTAATCTATCTCTATGATTAAATTGGGATTTATATTCTACTTTAAATTGTGTTAGTAATCTAATTGACTAAAAACCTGAAACACTTCTTGAAAATTTTTCTGTCAGAACTTTTTATGACGTGAAGTCACGTGACTTTGACTTGCAAGAAAGTGTCAGTTGTAAGTCATTTACTTCTTCTTCTTCCCTTTTCTCTTGTTCTTTTTCTTAATTGGGTTTGGCGTTGTCATCATCGTAATTTCCAGAGGCTGTTCCTTTCCATCCTCTTCATTCTCACTCATATCGATTAACCAAGCTGTCTTTACTGTCGATGGTGATGGCAATTCTAAGATCGGCCTTTTGTCACCAACTTCTTTTTTGTCTTGGTATCAGTTATTATCCTTCAACCTTTTTGTGAAATCATTGTTTAGCGTCATGTATTCTAAAAGAATCTTATTTTGTTCCGCCAAACTAATGATTTTTTTTTTTAGTAAAAGGTAATTATTCTCTTTCTGTATCCATTGGTTGAAGTTCTCCATTCCTTCGATCTTCAATTCATTTTTCATCTCTGTCACCGCCTCTGCATTAATTTTTTCCCATTCCATACCATTAGAAGTCTTGATAAAGATATCTTTAATTTTGTCCATCTTTCCACAAATATCTTTTCTTTTTGTTGAGTCTTTGAATCTCTCGTATACTATTTTTTCTGATCGATAATCTTTAATGATCTCAACTACTTCTTCTGGTGCTACATTGTCTTTATTTAGCGCTTTGCTGCTCTGTTGTCCTTTATCAAATTGGTCTAATAATAATTGGTGTTCTGCTTCTTCATTTAATCTCCATTTTTTTATCATTTCAACCACTTTTTCCTCCTCCGGTGATTTTGTTTTCTTTGGTTCCTGCCGACTGAAGTTCACATTTGCCCTAGGTATCAGTCTTCTAAAGAAGTCGTAATTTGCTGTGTCGAAGTTTTCCAACTCTGCGTAAATTCTATCTACTGGCATCGTCAGTATTTCCGCTACTTTGAACGAATGGGTGAAGGTGGATCATTCAGCAGCGCTGTCTCTGTTATCTTTACTGGTTCCACTTTCTTCTTTTCTGGTTCTAAATTCTGATTTTCCTTATTCTTTCTATCTTCTCTATATATTGTTTTCTTGTTCCTGACTAGCCATACCCAGTTTATATCGCCTTGTGTGCACGACTTCCTCCATTTCCTTTTGGTTCTTAAAATATCCAATCACTTTCCAATTTTTTGTGATTTTGATAATTTTGATGAATGTGCTTCTGGAGGTTTGTTGCAACTGTTTCGTAAAATCATAAATACTTCCAGTCTTGATTTCATCCATTTCTTTGTTAGTTAGGTCTCTTACTGCTTGCCATCTATCGCGTTCTTGCCGTCCTTTCAAATCTATCTTCGCATCGTACCATCTGATGAAATGTTTGCTAATACAAATTCCGAAGTGCCCTTCTTTGAAAGTTTTCTCAAAATTTTTGTTCAAAACAAGTTTTACCTTCACGGTTTTGTATTTGAATTGTCCTCTAGTTTGTATTCTGACCACTTTTCCTATTTTCATCAGATTTGTCCTAATTTCTTCTTCGCTCCAATATTTTGGTATATCGTAGAAAAATATGTCACGTGCGTCATTAAAGTTTGGATCGTCACTGGGAATTTCTGGTAAAACTGGTATTTCAATGATCGCTTTCCATTTTTTTATTTTTCCTGATCGTTTACCTATCTTTCCTTTTTTCGGTTGGGCATCATTTTTGTTGTTACCAGTTTTTGCTTTTTTAAGCTCTAAGCTCGTTTTCTCTATCTTTTGTGAAATTTTCCTTATTTGCTCATTTTTCTGTGATATTATTTGTTCCTTTCTTTTCTCCTCATTGCCTTTTCTGACCATCACATGACTTGTCTTCCGCAGTTCTTCTCGCAGCTTTGAATTTTCCCAAGAAAGTCTTTTTATTTCGTCTATATAGACATCAAAGGAAGTTGCTATACACTTTAAAACTATTTCACTTATAGCTTCTTTTCTTCGTACAGCGTCTTTCTGTATTGACTCCAGGAAGTTCTATTCTGTTTTGCTGAGACTACTGTCTCTTGGTGCTCTTTCCTGACCCTTTACTCTAATTCTTGAGTCCGCACTGAAAAGGTTTTTTGTTTCTTTCAGAAATCTATACCTATATTCTGTAAATTTGTATGCTGATTCCATTTTTGTGGTTTTTTATTTGGTTTTATTAATAAAAAAGCTCATAAAAGACATTTTTCTTTCTGCAAAAATTTGGGCAGAATGATCGTCAGAAAGAGTCCCTTCCTATCCCGCGGCTAATGAGTTATTTTTCAGCTAACTACACTATTATCTGTGATTCTCACCACTGGTGATTTTCACCGATCACACCCACGTTTTTGATTACATGATTACGTCATCATCAATAAATGTTTATTTGTTTATTATTTCTAGTACTTTCCCAACTTTAAAGCTCAGCTGGTATGTTTTTCTTTTTTTCTTTTTTTTTTGTTACTTTATTTTATTCTCTTTAAGTTCTTACTCCTTTCAGTCCTTTTCTCTTTGCAATTAAGGTGTGTTTAGTATTACATAGTCACAATTTTTTGAAGTTTTTATTTTTTTTTATTTTGTCTCTTACACTTCGCTTCTTATATTTTGTTCCTTACATTTCCTTCCTAACTTTATTTTGATTTTTTTTTAGGTCCTTAGTTCTTCTCAGTATGTTCTTTTATTTATTTATTTTTTTATTTGTCTATCATATTTCGTTTCTTACTAACTTATTTTATGGTTTTTACGTGATCGGTTGGTTTCCTTCATTTTTTTATTCCCTACTGTTCTTTTATCTTTTGTTTCCATTGTTACTTTCATTTCCTTATTTTTTCATTTCTTTTTCACTCCACTTCATTTTTTTTCATTCCTTTCTACTCGTCCCTCGTTTCTTTCACTCCTTTTCACTCCCCGTTTTGTACAATAATTCTTGTTCGTTGGACCATGATCAAGTTTCTACTGTTTTCAGACTTTTGTTCGTTCCTTCAAAAAATAAGTTTTGATATCGCGTATGCAAATGATTAGAAATTGACAGAGAAGTTGGTTAATTTTTTTCTGTGTCTTTAAGTGGGCTGAAAATATGTTATAAAGGCCATCATTTTCTTTTGTTCCTTTCGCTCCCCTTCATTTTTTTCATTCCTTTTCACTCCCCCTTCATTTTTTTTTCGTTTCTTTTTATCCCCTTCGTTTTTTTCATCCCTTTTTCACCTCTCTCTTTTTTTTTACTCCACCTTTATTTCTTTTATTACTTTTTATTCCTCTTCATTTATTTTGTTCTTCCCTTCACTTCTTTTGTTGTTCCTCATTCATTATTTTTTCATTATATTTTGTTTCTTACTCTTTTTATTATTATTGCTTGCATTTTAAATTATTAGCACATTCTCTTCGTTTTATCTTCATTATTTCTGTTATTTCCATAAATAAATAAATAATTGTTAATATTTATATTTTTAATCAATAAAACGTATCTTTAATTAATAAATTATTATTATTATCATTATAAACGCGTAACTTTTAGTATTTAGTTTGCAAATAAAAATTTCATTACATTAAGTTACTTTAAATAATTTTGTTAAAAAATTACAATAGGTTTATAAGATAAATTAAAAAAAAATTTTGGTGAAAATCACCACCGGTGAAATTTAGCAATACTCTAAATAAATTACTAGTTTAGCAAAAGTAACGAACGAAAAAATAATTAAATTTTATTTTAATTTAACAACAGTTAATATCAAAATTCTTACCGTATAACAATTATTATTTTATACTTTGTCCTTTAGGCCTTTTTTAATAATTTATTCGATTAAATGAAAAAAATCGGGTAGTTTTATTATTTATAGATTGAAAAATTATTTAAAATATTTTATTAATAAATAAATATCATATGCATTAGGTATTAAAGATTGGCTCATTTGGGTTATAATATATAGGGATTTTTTTATATTTATAGAACAATGAACCCTAAAGGAAAAATCAAAAATCGCAAGATTCAGTTATGGTACTTTGTTATGGCAGGATTTCGAATAAGTGAGTGTCCCTAAATCTGCTATCGGACTATTTTTAGTGGAATCAGGAACCTTTACGCATTTTGTAATTACCATTGACAAAATGGGATTTAGTACAATGTATCAAACAAAATTGAAATGTACAAATGAATATTTGTAAGATTAATAAATATAATGACTTTTTATTAAGAGAATTAAATTGTAATATTTATTTAATTATCAAATTTAATAAATATCAAATTATTGAAGATTTAGCCTAATAATCTTTTAATTGCATGTATGGATGATTATCACAAAATACATGGACTCCAACAAATAGCTTATATGACAACGATTTTATTCGATATTACCCAAACTTTACCGATTCCCTATTTTTCCGATCATAATTCCTCAATTCATAATCCTTAATGGCATTGCTACTTCTCTTCTCAAATCAATCTGTAAAGAATATATGATAACGTTAGACAACGGTTATAATTCAGTAAAACCAAACTGGGATCAAACATCAAACTCGATTAGCGATGGGACAGACCTTATTGTTCATTCCTATGATGCAGATATTCAGAAAACTATCAATGAAAATTTAATAAAACAAAGCTAATAGACTGCGTTGAACTAGATTTAAAAAATACTAAATTATATGTACGGTAGGCCATTAAAACATTTATCGAGTTAATATAATGTTAAATTTCTTACTTAGGTTCTGGTTTTAGTACTAACTTTGGTTTTGCAGAATGAGTGGGATTACAGGACTTTGACGTGGGAAAAGGTCGGGCTACACGCCAGGCTATGTTTGCTTAATTGTTTTTGTCAGTGTTTCTTTAGTCGTAGTTTTTGTGATTCTGTTTTTCCTGTATTAGAGATAGATATAATCAGTCGTGTAGTAGGGTTAGGAATGGGTTTGTGTTTTTCTTTTTTTGTTTTGTTGTTTTTTTTGTGGTTTTTGTTTTTAGGATAGATTAATGTATTGTTATGGAGTCTTATCGTGTTGCACGTATGATTCTAGGTATTTCTGTAATTGGTTATCTATCCTTAATAAAAAAATGCGTTACAAAATTTAAAAAAAAATTTCTTACTTAGGAATTTCAACCAATCCTCAAGTTTCTTTAAAATACCTCGAAGAGTAAGTGTGGCCAACATGAGAATCCATTTGTGAAACCATTTGAACCGTAGCGTCATTATCCCTGTTCAAAAGATCTTGATTATTTAATTAAACTACAGCCATTTTTCGTTTGAATTTTTTTTGGCAAGCTATGGCAAAATCCAAGCCAAACTGAATTAAAGAAGGAAGTAGTAAGGAAAGTTAAAATAGAAATGGTGTTACTTTCCTGGTATTGAAGTAAAATTTTCTTTTGGAGCTTTGCCATTAGGTTACCATTCAACATGGATACCACAAAACTCTCTTCCAAATTTGGGCTTGCGTTGTTTGCATTTCTTTAATTACCTTTCTGACTTCAGTTGAGAGTTATCGTAATCTTATAATCAAAGATTAAAATGAATGTTAATACCAATTTGAAGAATTAGACAATGCAGAATCAAAGAAAAAGATATCCGGTAAGTTATATCTGGTAAGTCAATTCATTCCTCCTTTAGTATCAGTTAATAAGCCAATAAATGGATTTTAACTATGCTTAAAGTGTTTTTGTTTCATCCAATTCTATGTAAATTAAATCGTTCGCAGTGTAACGACAATCGCTACGTCACAAATTTAGATTTAATTCAGTGTAACGATCATCGCTACGCCACAAATTTAGATTTAATTTTTTTGATCAAAGTTAGCATTA